GATAGATGATAGATAGATAGATAGATAGATAGATAGATAGATAGATAGATAGATAGATAGATAGATGATAGACGAATGGATAGGAAAGATGGATGGATGGATGGATGGATGGATGGATGGATGGATGGATGGATGGATGGATGGGCGGGATGGATGGGCGGGATGGATGGGCGGGATGGATGGGCGGGATGGATGGATGGATGGATGGATGGATGAGAAAGATGGATGAGAGGGATGGATGGATGGGTGGATGGATGGATGAGAGAGATGGAATGATGGGTGGATGGATGGATGATAGCTATTTGGATACCTTCTCCTACTCCAATCCCAGGTTACCTATTTCTCTGTGTCCTGCAGTGGAGCCTCAATAGGATGTCACTGGGGAGCTGCGTCCACTTGTTCCCATAGCCTGTGGAGCCCTCTGCCTTCTCTCCTCCTCCATCCCCGCAGCAGCTCAGAGCCATAGTCTAGGGCTAGTTGGGCTCTCTTCTGTGTCCTATCTCCACGAGTAACAACTGGGGGTCACAGGTCTGTCCCTTCTCTAATGTGAGGCAGGCCTGGGTAGCAGACGAAATTCTCCACAACCTAGGGACCTGCTATAGCATCAGGGTTCCAGGACTGAGATTTGGAATGATCACACTAGGGCAGAGTGACTGTAAGGTGCTTCCCTTTCAGATGCAGACGCAAGCGTGCACCAGCCTTGGAAAAGGCACATTATTGCCAGGGGCCTCATGTTTCCTCCAGATTGCAGGACAGAGGAACCAACTGGCTGCTCTTCTTTTGGGTCCAACCCTGGCTAAAGGCATTGCTGAGTGGGAGAACATGACCTGACCTTGCAAACAGAAGAGACTATTTGACAGGATGGTTAAGCAATTTGCTTTCCTATTTATGTCAGTGCCAATACACCCTGATGAGGGGTCCTTCTGTTGGTGGTTTTTTAAAGACTGAATATATCTGAGACTTTGACTCCCCTAATACCCACTGCACCCCCATTCTGAAGTCCTGGCAGGTCACAGGAGCAGCAGTGACCAGATGAGAAGAGCCCACTTTAGCCCCGCAGCACCCGCTTCTGGTGCAGGTCCACTCACCCTCACAGGTCCTCTTGTTGGGCAGCATCCGGTACCCACTGGGGCAGGTACAGTGGTAGGAGCCTGGTGTGTTCACACAGATGTGCATGCAAAGGCGGGAGTACCCCCTCCTCTTGTAGAGCTCACACTCGTTCACATCTGGGGACAGAAGTGCCTGGTATGACTCCTCCGGGAGTCATGCAGTGAGCCCTGTCCCCAGCAGAGCATGGGAAGAGGGGCAGGTGCACTGCCATCCTCCTGAGCCAAGGGCCCAGGGAGCATAAGGGAGGAGTTAATGGAGTAACCAGGCGGCTTCCAAGGCTCGTGGGCAGCCCAGAGAGCCAGGCCGGGCTGCAGCCCCAGATTCCTGGCCTGTTTCGTGGCCCTCTCGTTGGGAATGGAGTAAGAGGGTTTTGTTTCTGCTGCAGTAAAAGGAGGCTGTTGACACCAACTGACCAATTCTCAGGTCTGAACCACTGGCCTGAGTTGTTTTCAGGAGCTTTGTTGGTCAAGATAGTTGCTAGAAGTGGTCTTGTCTGTAAAGCGGAGCCCAGAGGGGGCAGGGATGAGCCCCAGGCACCTGCCCAGCTCAGCATGTCCACCAGCCAGGATGCAGGGACAAGGCGCTCCAGGCTCTTTCAGCCTAGTGTGCAGGGCTTGGGTGGAAGCCCCGCCAGGTCCTGAGACTGGGGGCGAGCCTGGGACCCGCTGGCTCCTTTTTCAACACCCTCCCCTCCAGCAGCATCTATGTGTTAGCTCCGTCTTAGCAGCCACTAGGTCAAAACCGACCTAAAACCGCAGTGGGTAGGATCTCGGAGACCGGGCTCCTCCTCTGTGTCCTGGGAGTGGGCTGGGTGCACCCATAGGTGGGAAAGCATTGGTGGGTGCCCCTTCCCTCCTGTGCCCTCCCCTGGCACGTGGGAGCCCCGCTGCGTCCACCCACTTCGTGTTCCCCCCCGGCCCACCCGCCTACCTACCCAGGCAGACGCCGTCGCC